CAAAACAATTGTTCATCAATGAATATCGAAGAAATCAATATGAGTTATACGTACGCCAATTTCATGAAGTCACCTTAATCAGGAGAAAGGGAAATATTTTTGATGTATATATTGAAAAATGGCGTAGCAGTGAAAGAATTGGGTATATTGTTTATGGACGGTACTGAAAATAGAATTCCGAAATTACAGTAGAGCTTGACGCAGAAAATGGAAAGAGAGGGTGAAGGACAAATTATTCAATTTTCCGGTCAAACTCCACATATTAGAAGGTTAAATCAAAAGAGTAAACTAGAAATTCCTATTACTGATTTACTTATAGACATGCAGAGGAGTCTATGACATCATCGGAACGCAAAAAAGAAAGCAGAAATGGAGAAGAAGAGAAGCAGAAGTGACCAGACAGGAGGCCGTGGACATGCTCTTGATGGCTAGGGAACTGCTTCGGATAATTCGACAACATGAACGTGTAAATAAACGGTTGATGAAAAGGGTTAAACAATTTATTGAAGTTAATGAGTTTAATTTGAAAGTGGAAACTTTGCGAGGTGAGGTTGACTGTTTGAAACTTCAAAAAGCCAACGCCGCCTCCAAAGTATAAACAGTTAACTGACATCCTGTCAAAAAGCGAGAGCAGGTGTCGCTATCTGGGTTAACAGTTAACGAATGGAAAATGCTGAAGTGTGAAAACTTGCTCGTATATTTTTGCAAAGGTGTTGCTGCATTGTAGATAAACTTTGTTTGAACTTTTCCGCAGATATTTTTGGAGATGTACGTGTGTGTGTATGCTGTGCTTGAGGTGATGATGTAATGGTATTTCAACCCGCTGAAACAAGGGGTGTGACCAAGTGTTTTGTGTGACTTGCATTTGTCCAATAGAGAGATTTGCTAGACGCTTTGCAGGAGAGGAATTTTGTACACGCCCTCTCCTATATAATCCAATGCTTAATGATTTTGCGGGGCCGAGAATCGGGTGAAGATTACACGTTGTTACTTTCTTGATATTTGCTTATGAGTTATTGTTTTTAAATTTGTATATGGTGATTCGATAAACTTTCTTAAACAGGTCTCTGAGTAATTTATTCATAGTAATTTATTATCTGAATATCTCCATAAATCTCCAATGCGGGATTCAAAGTGTTAAGAATCCAGCTGAGCTGATCAGGACATTTTGCTGAGGACCCTGGATCTCATGTTACACATCACATCTATATAAAAGGTAAGGGCTGTATTTGATTATGACAGCTGCGGATGGGAGGAATGTGTGATTATAAGATTTTTGGCTCTCTATAAGCGAATTAATATAACAATGATGATATGATGAATGGATGGTTCATGTTTAACAGCAGATTCAGTGACGTTAGAGCTGATCTGCACCTCACTGCATGCGTATGCCGCGCGTTACGGCTCCACGGGAACCGGAGCTGATAGTGGCTATATCTTCTTTGGCCATATTAGCCTACGCAATAGCATTAACACAGGCTTTACTCCTTTCAAACTTTATCTGGAATGTCACCGTTTCTGTCACTGCAACTTCCCGATCAGGCAAACGAACACACACACACAAGAAATCGTCTGCCTCATGAAAAATAATGTAGTTAATATTTGCATCATTTATGATTTATTTTATCCACCCGCAAATAATCAGAATGCATTTTTTATTACCCGACCCACGGATTATCCGCAGCACCAGTGGATATAGGAAAAGCTAAATAAGTTTGCCGCGTAAATCAGACGGATTTCTGAAAATGCAAATTAATTCTCTGCCAGCAGGAGGTGCTTTAAAGCGGGAGAAACGGAGGTTTCCCCAGTAATGGCTGTACACACAGCAGCGCTGAGCTCACAAACGCTGCTTTATCGGTAGGCAATATTTCTCAATATTAATCGATTTTTCGATTAATCGTTTTTTTAAATGACGTCGATTCGATATCGATTCTCAAAAGCCGCGAATCGATCTTTTAAAACAAGATCTGATTAACGTGAATCTTATCATTAGTCTTCACTAGATGTCACCCTTATTTACCTTGCGCGATGTTACAACAGAAATCCTGTCATTCATTCAGCGCTTATCATGGCCATACTTATGATTCGCAATGCTCAGGTGAAATGCTACAGTAATACTATAAATCTGCGGAAGCATTTGATATCACGCATTAGGCGCCATGATTTCCGCAGTGAATGAATGGTGGATGGTGCGGCGCACTGTTTTGTTTACTACACACATACTAAAGCGCGGATGACGCTCGCGGTGTTTTCAGCTTCTGCCGTCTCACTATATGATGATATGAACACGAATGTCATCTCCAGCTGCTCTGAGAGTCACTTCATTAGCATTTTACCGTTTCATTTGAGAAAACTACCGTTATATCACATACACAGCAGCTGCAAGTTCTTCACGGCAACCCGTCAAAATAAAAGTTTAGTTTAACGTTAAGAAACTGTCAGAATATATTACTATTTAGCAGAGCCCAACTTCAGTCTACTCATCACCTGCGTTTGTAGCCGGCGCCCGATGAAACGTCTATATAAAGCTTGAAGCATCAGCATCGGCCGATCACCATGACAAGAAATCGGTACTCAGTATCGGCTGCAAAAATCCTGATCAGAGCATCCTATAATAAAATGCTTTCAGCCCAGAGCTGGTCCTACATGATAGGCTCTTAAACTCAATTTATAGGCTACATAAAAAAATCCAAATTCCGCCTGTTTAATTTGATGTTCATCATAGAGTTGTGAACAAATACAATAAAAAAAAATACAAACAATTCCACCCATTCAATTTGACCCTATAATAATCTTATTTGTGTCTTATTGGCTTTAATTAGGACACCCATATGACATATCACCCATTTCTGTAGAACTGGACATTGACTGAGTTCAGCTTTGAGAAAGACACCAACCTGTTTGTTCCTCAGTATCTTCATGTTTGATGCTGAATACTTCTGCAATCCTAATGTCTTCACTCTCCTCTTTAATAAACGCCATCTTTATAATAGTGTGTCACGTGGATCTGAGAAAAATCAAGAAAGATAAACGCACACTAAATTGAAAAAAGTGACTATGTCTTTAGTCTGTGTTGAACTGACGCATATAGTTTGTTCAGAGACTGTAGCGCTCACAAACATTGTGAAAATTGTCTCATAGCCTACATCGTTGTCTTCTCGTTGCATCACATGGTTTCATCCAATAGGAAAGCTTTCGTTCTGCGATTCGTAGTAAAACTATACATTTGCATGAACAGTTCATTTCATCTTCGTCTTCTTCTTCTTCTTCTTCTGTTTATTGGCGGTTGGCATACTAGCTCATTAGTGCATTCATTCGATTTAATTTAAACACTTTACATGTTTAAAACACGAACCTTTTTTTCAGGCGAGTTACAAGCTCCTGGTTAACAGCGCAGCCTTATGACGTCATACAGCCATTCCAAAATAAAAGTCCCGTTCACACACGCTCGAATCAGAAATGCACATAGAAACACACGTGCGAATGATAAAACACGCACCAGTGGCGCTCAGAGCTGATTTCTTGCACAATATATTTCTTTAAATAAACGGTGGCCAATGTTCAATTCCAGTGAGAGTTTGAACGACATGAGATTCGGAACACTAGTGTTTGTGTGCAGAAACCATTTAAGGAGCCAGGAACTTTTTACTTTTACTTTTTATTTTATTTACTTATTTATTTATTATTTTTGAGAAGAGCTTGGTTATAACAAAGGCCTGTCAGTCTTTTTGTCATACGAGCAAAAACGCTGGCGGGGAAAGAGTTAAGCCAATTAGATTACATTTAGATTCAAATTAAAATAGATCAAAATTAGAATTGATTTAGATAAGATTTAACACATTTGCTTAAAGAGGTTTTGTGTTTGATTAGAAATAAAAGCAAAAGCTGCAGATGTTTTGTGGTGTATCTTCCATCAGTGTCTTTGTAAATCTACACGATCACTAAAACTGATGGAGATTAAGCTCATTCTTTTGTCTCTATACATAAAGAGACATTTGTGTAGATGGACGAACACAATCGCCTGAGTTTGTAAATGTGGCCAATTATCATTTAAATTAATAGCTTACATTTACAAAATGAGCCTTTTTAATGAAAGTAAAGTCCATGCTTATTACAATTCTCAATGAAATTAAAATGTCAAATTAGAAAAATAAAAAAGATTGTTGTTAAATTTAGTTTAATATATTTGTGGCAGAGATGGTGAAGTCGAGAGAGATTACAGAACAAAGAACAGAATAATGTGTAACTATTGATCAGCTACGCCGCCCAGAATCCATCTTGTTTCTTAATCCTCCTTTTACTGACCATTTCTTGAAAACTATCAAATTCATCCTTTCATTTCATAGTTCATAAATTAGCACTGTGAATGTGTGGGAGGAGTCTCACTGAAGGTGAACGTGTGGGAGGGGCCTCACTTACGGTGAATGTGTTCAAGGGGCCTCACTGATGGTGAATGTGTGGGAGGAGCCTCACTGACAGTGAACGTGTGGGAGGAGCTTCACTGACGGTGAATGTGTTCAAGAGGCCTCACTGAAGGTGAAAGTGTGTGAGGAGCTTCACTGACAGTGAATGTGTTCAAGGGGCCTCACTGACAGTGAATGTGTGGGAGGGGCCTCACTGAGTGGGAGGAGCTTCACTGACGGTGAATGTGTTCAAGAGGCCTCACTGAAGGTAAACGTGTGGGAGGAGCTTCACTGACAGTGAATGTGTTCAAGGGGCCTCACTGACAGTGAATGTGTGGGAGGGGCCTCACTGACAGTGAATGTGTGGGAGGGGCCTCACTGAAGCTGAATGTGTGGGAGGAGGGGCCTCACTGACGGTGAATGTGTGGGAGGGGCCTCACTGACGTGAACGTGTGGGAGGAGCTTCACTGACGGTGAATGTGTTCAAGAGGCCTCACTGAAGGTAAACGTGTGGGAGGGGCTTTACTGACAGTGAATGTGTTCAATGGGCCTCACTGACGGTGAACGTGTGGGAGGAGCTTCACTGACGGTGAACGTGTGGGAGGGGCCTCACTGACGGTGAATGTGTGGGCAGGGCCTCACTGTCGGTGAATGTGTTCAAGGGGCCTCACTGATGGTGAGTGTGTGGGAGGAGCCTCACTGACGGTGAATGTGTGGGAGGAGCTTCACTGACGGTGAATGTGTGGTAGGGGCCTCATTGATGGTGAATGTGTTGAAGGGGCCTCACTGATGGTGAACATGTTCAAGGGGCCTCACTGAAGGTAAGCGTGTGGGAGGAGCTTCACTGACGGTGAATGTGTGGGAGGGGCCTCATTGATGGTGAATGTGTTGAAGGGGCCTCACTGATGGTGAACATGTTCAAGGGGCCTCACTGAAGGTAAGCGTGTGGGAGGAGCTTCACTGACGGTGAATGTGTTCAAGAGGCCTCACTGAAGGTAAACGTGTGGGAGGGGCTTTACTGACAGTGAATGTGTTCAATGGGCCTCACTGACGGTGAACGTGTGGGAGGAGCTTCACTGACGGTGAACGTGTGGGAGGAGCTTCACTGACGGTGAACGTGTGGGAGGGGCCTCACTGACGGTGAATGTGTGGGCAGGGCCTCACTGTCGGTGAATGTGTTCAAGGGGCCTCACTGATGGTGAGTGTGTGGGAGGAGCCTCACTGACGGTGAATGTGTGGGAGGAGCTTCACTGACGGTGAATGTGTGGGAGGGGCCTCAATGATGGTGAATGTGTTCAAGGGGCCTCACTGATGGTGAACATGTTCAAGGGGCCTCACTGAAGGTAAGCGTGTGGGAGGAGCTTCACTGACGGTGAATGTGTGGGAGGGGCCTCAATGATGGTGAATGTGTTCAAGGGGCCTCACTGATGGTGAACATGTTCAAGGGGCCTCACTGAAGGTAAGCGTGTGGGAGGAGCTTCACTGACGGTGAACGTGTGGGAGGGGCCTCACTGACGGTGAATGTGTGGGCGGGGCCTCACTGACGGTGAATGTGTGGGCGGGGCCTCACTGACGGTGAATGTGTGGGCGGGGCCTCACTGACGGTGAATGTGTGGGCGGGGCCTCACTGACGGTGAATGTGTGGGCGGGGCCTCACTGACGGTGAATGTGTGGGCGGGGCCTCACTGACGGTGAATGTGTGGGCGGGGCCTCACTGACGGTGAATGTGTGGGCGGGGCCTCACTGACGGTGAATGTGTGGGCGGGGCCTCACTGACGGTGAATGTGTGGGCGGGGCCTCACTGACGGTGAATGTGTGGGCGGGGCCTCACTGACGGTGAATGTGTGGGCGGGGCCTCACTGACGGTGAATGTGTGGGCGGGGCCTCACTGACGGTGAATGTGTGGGCGGGGCCTCACTGACGGTGAATGTGTGGGCGGGGCCTCACTGACGGTGAATGTGTGGGCGGGGCCTCACTGACGGTGAATGTGTGGGCGGGGCCTCACTGACGGTGAATGTGTGGGCGGGGCCTCACTGACGGTGAATGTGTGGGCGGGGCCTCACTGACGGTGAATGTGTGGGCGGGGCCTCACTGACGGTGAATGTGTTCAAGGGGCCTCACTGAAGGTAAGCGTGTGGGAGGAGCTTCACTGACGGTGAATGTGTGGGAGGAGCCTCACTGACGGTAAACGTGTGTGAGGAGCTTCACTGACGGTGAACGTGTGGGAGGAGCTTCACTGACGGTGAACGTGTGGGAGGGGCCTCACCGACGGTGAATGTGTGGGAGGGGCCTCACTTACGGTGAATGTGTGGGAGGAGCCTCCCTGACGGGGAACGTGTGGGAGGAGCTTCACTGACGGTGAACGTGTAGGAGGGGCCTCACTGACGGTGAATGTTTTCAAGGGGCCTCACTGACAGTGATTGTGTGGGAGGGGCCTCACTGACGGTGAATGTGTGGGAGGAGCTTCACTGACGGTGAACACATGGGCGGGGCCTCACTGACAGTGAATGTGTGGGAGGGGCCTCACTGACGGTGAATCTTTTCAAGGGGCCTCACTAACAGTGATTGTGTGGGAGGGGCCTCACTGACGGTGAATGTGTGGGAGGAGCTTCACTGATGGTGAACGTGTTCAAGGGGCCTCACTGAAGGTGAACGTGTGGGAGGGGCCTCACTGACAGTGAATGTGTGGGAGGGGCCTCACTGATGGTGAATGTGTGGGAGGACCCTCACGGACGGTGAATGTGTGGGAGGGACCTCACTGACGGTGAATGTGTGGGAGGAGCTTCACTGACGGTGAACACATGGAGGAGCTTCACTGACGGTGAATATGTGGGAGGAGCTTCACTGACAGTGAATGTGTGGGAGCAGATCTGCCAAAATCAAAATCACTTACTGAGTTAGTTTTTATAAGCATTGACGACAGAATATAAATAATGTCATGTAAATTATAAAGTATAAGTATAAATAATGGTAAAAAACACTGGTAAAATGTTCATAATTGTTACCAGTGGCGGCAGGTGGACAATTTTCTAGGTGGGGTGCCACATCCAACAAATTTATGTAAACATACATCCCAGTTTGATTTATCCCAGTATAACAAAAGTAAAAGTATTAAAGGGGTCATATGATGTTGCTAAAAAGAACATTATGTTGTGCATTTGGTGTAATGAAACGTGTTTACGTGGTTTAAGGTTCAAAAAACACATTATTTTCCACATACTGTACATTATTGTTTCTCCTCTATGCCC